CGTTGCGTTCCGATCGATCGATTTGCACCGTGCGACCCTCCTCCCGGACGGTGCGTGAATTCGCCGTTTCACACCACTGCATCCGTGTCCGCTCGCGATTCGGACTTGATTCGCGCGGATCGGATTCGAGTTAAAAATATACCCCCGGAACGTTGCGAGAGACTCACTCCGTTCCACCGCTGCTTGCCCGAAGCGACGTCTCGGGAATCTGACGCTTCCCGCGTACGCGGGATTTCTCTCTCTTCGCTCCGACCAGGGGCGGAACTAGAGAATGATCAAAAAGCAACCATCCGTTATATTATATATTGTATCAAAATCATCGAAGAAATAAGAATAAAATAGAATATTCAGCTTGCTATAGCTTTAATCGGTCGCATTGATTATCTCGTGTTTATCAATATTTATTACGCTAATTGAAGATTTTAATGAAATTAAAATGGAGTACCATTACGATTTTTCTTCAGTTCGAACGTTTGAATTTCCGCCGATATATACTTAATATATCGACGAAAATTTAAATATAATATCGATTAATCTGTGTAAAATGACGGCACATACCTAGACGAGGACACTTTATAAATTGCAATCTCGACACACTTCGAATGGATAGTTGACGAGAAATGTGCCAGGAAGTCGCTCGATCGTAGATCTCCTCGGCATGTGAAATGTGGATTGTCGAGTGTAGGTAGAATCATACGCGAACGTTTCCACTACAAACGTGTTTGACGAGCGGCACAAAGAGTAAGTTTTAACGCGCGAAAATCGCTTTCAGCAACGACAGTCGTGCGACAAAGACGAAACGACTCGGACGTCGTGGCGCATTTTGTGACTGTGGTCGCGATAACGAAATCGAAAAGCGATTCTCGAATTATCGAAACTCTCGACCGTCGACCGATTCATTGAGTAAACGGACCAATCGCTAAGGCTAATCTGCGACCACGTGAATGGGTCGCGCATGCGCATGCAAACGCATAATAAGAAAATAATTTGTTCATTTATTCGCACGTGGACTTGTAGGGATCAAATCTCGTGATCAGTTCTGATTGTGAATTATTGTTCAAAAGAACCTAGACTTACTGGAATATTCTTGTGTAAAATTTAAAATTGAATCGCGTTTTGTTATAAATTTAAGAGGAGAAGAACTGAAAACTCTTAAAGTTGGAGGTTAAGGTAATGAACTTTTATATACTTAAAGGCAAAAATAAAGTTTTATTAATGATTTATTTTTATTAACGATTTTTAAGTTTTATTAACGATATTTTATTAAAGTTGCAAAAGAAACTAGATACTAGTTTCAAGAAGTTCAACGTTTGTCTCACATTTAATGTGTTGTATATTTTTTAGTTTTATTAAAAGATGAAGCGTTCAGCAGATGATTTGAATATTGATGATGTGAAAGCAGAGAGTAATGTAAACGCAGAGAACGATAAGAAAAGAAAGAAAGTGAAAATTGAGAAATCTGTAGATAATAAGTCCTCAGGTAAGGATAAAAAGGCAAAAAACTCTAGTGTTTAAAAAATTGTATTAAGGTGTCTTTTTATTTTGCTTAATATTTATTTTCAATATCAAAATAAATTACATAATCAAAAATGATTGAAATTTTTTTATATCTATTTTGTGATTACCTGATTTATTTTGATAAATCTAAAAATAAAAGTATCAAATGAATATCTTTATATATAAAAATTAAAAAATAATATTTTTGCAGATAAGAATACAAAAGTGCCTTTTACAAAGAAAAATTCAAAAGAAAAGAGTTTAAGAGTGGCAAAGAATAATGTTACAATCAAGAAGATAAATTCAATTAAGCAGAAAAAAGAGCTTGGACAAAAATCCAAAATTCAGAAAAACTTAAAGCACAATAATATGAAATCAGAAGAGATGACTGTAAAAAAGACAGATTGGATCAAATTGAAAAAGGAAAAAAAAGAACTCAGAGAAAAACGCAAAGCTAAGAAATTGAATAACGATACAATATATGATAAAGTCATTCAAGCTAAGCAGATTAGTGAAAAGCTACGTAGATCTGATTGCAAGCCTCTTAATCGTACAAAGTTAACTCAAACATTGCATCAGATGCTGGAAAATTATTACAGCAAAGTGATATTTACACATGATTTATCTAGAGTAGTTCAATGCATGATCAAGTACTGTGAGACAGATATTCGACAAGCTATACTTAGCGAGTTAAAACCATGCATCGTGGAAATGTTACAGTCGAAATATGCAAAAAATTGTGTGAAAGCTCTTTTAAAATACGGTTCGCGAGAAATCAGGTGTGAGATTATCTCTCAGTTTTATGGTAACATCGTTAAACTAATGAGTCATAGTGTATCAGCCTCTCTTGTGGAACTTACATATAGCACTTGGTGTACAGAATTTGATAAAATATACTTCAAGCAAGAATTTTATGGAGATATGTATAAATTAGATAAAGACAAAAACATTAAAGCACTGTGGAATGTATACGAAAACGCAATGGATATGAAAATGGCTACATTATCCGCTGTAAAAGCAAATTTAATTAGAATCTTAAATAAAGGTTTTGTTAACTCTGTTCTGTTGCATACAGTTCTGTGGGAATTCCTCCATGTATGTTCAGTAGAAGACAGAAATGAGTTAATAGTTATGCTACGTCCCTACATTATAATGTTGTGCCAGACGAAAATGGGGACAAGAGTCGCTATGGAATGCATATGGCATGGCAATAGTAAAGATAGAAAAGTTATTATGAAAGCTCTTAAGGGAAATGTAAAAGCTATTTGTCTATCTACATACGGTTACATGATGTTGTTGGCGCTCTTCGATTCCGTAGATGACACCGTTCTTATCCAGAAGATAATATTGTCCGAGTTGCAAGAGGATTTAGTTAATATCGCACTGAATGAATATGGAAAACATGTTATATTGTATCTCGTAGCCAGAAGAGATTCTTGCTATTTTTCACCAGCCGTAGTGAAATATTTATGTCAAGGCGATAACAATTCCACAAGTAAGAAATCAGATGATATTAGGGAATATGAACTCCTTGAAGCAATTCATGATCCACTTCTTGATGCGATAACTGCGGATACAGCAACGTGGTTATCCAATGGCAGCATAGCTATGACTACTTTGGCGATATTGAAAATAGGCTCAGGAAATAAATTACATTCCGCGTTTGAATCAATTGCTGAGTTTGTTAGCAATATAAATTCAAAAATCAAGGACAACGATATTGAATATAATGTGATTGAACATTCTGGATTGCATATAATGTTGAAAAAACTTATTCAGAATGACAAAGAAGTGATAGAAAGAAAAGAATCTGCATTCGGTGAAATATTAACATTACATTTAACGTTAAATGTGCTAAAGGAATGGATAGAATTTAATAGAGGTTGCTTTTTATTAATTTTTCTCATAGAAAATGAAGCTGAGAATGTTAAAGACATGTTATTATCTAAATTAAAACCATTAGCAGAAAATCTCAAGACAAAATGCAGTGCTGGAGCATCGATATTATTAAAAAAATTGACGTAAATGTAGTATTTGAATGTAATGTATAATAATATTATGTTATGATAATAAATAACATTAAATATAAAACATAGCATAACAATTAATTTCAGTAAGCTATATCCAAACGATATGTTTATCTAAAAAATTTAAACAAAAATCTAAGGATATCTTCAAAAATTTGTGTCCACGATGCTAGAAATCAGTTTGAGATCTCGGATGAAGAAAAAATTGACCAATCATATTGATCAATTGACGGAATAGTCACTGGAATGGTCAATTTTTTCTCTCCGAGATCTTTGGTCGATTTCTAGCATCGTGAACACAAGACTTTAGGCTCGGCTTTCTCGTTGCAGTCATATTGATTTTATGACGTCATAGACGAGAAAAGATATGCACCAAGTAGTCTTGCGTCGTATACATTTATTTTTTAATTTTCCCTTAAAAATATTATATTTTCGTATTCTTAAAATTTGTATTATAAAATATATCAGAAACTAAGATATCTGTCCGATGTTATCCAAAAGTATAAAATAATTCTTGAAATAACACTTATCTTCCAACTCTCATTTCGGTTTCTAAGAGCTGAGGTTTCATATTTTATTTATCAATTTTCATACGGTAACATCATTACAGCTCATTTTTGGTATATTTTGCACTTCCGAAGATTGTGAAAATATATATATATTTCATTGAAAAATTAAAAAATAAAGATAACGCAAGAAATTTTATGGAGTGCCAAATGCCAAATGCTCGCCTGTAGCTCGTCCGATTTCTTTTCTTTTCTCTCCTTTTCTCCTTTAGTCTGTCGCATGTTTTTTTATATCTCTGTTAAGTAGGTTTGAGAAATGAGACAGGTATTTAGAAATCATGATTTATATCGAATTAACAGATTGAAAATATACTGAGAATGTTTCGAGATTATTTTCTCTGCTCTTTAAGATCTCTTTGTGATTGCTATGATCACTTCATGAATGATGAAACATGACATGGTGGATTGCGTCTTAAACACAATGGTCGCATTACCTCCATATGCTGCATAACACGATGAATAAAAAAAACACTGGTTATTAAATTATCGAACATACATTATTTATTTAAAATAAGCGTAAAAAAAAGAAAATGCGCAGTAAATTTAATCTGAATCTTGGATATTTATCTACGATACATCTTACATTTTTAAAATAATCACAATGAATTTTGTAGGATTCATATATGTTTTCATTACACTAGCTTCAAATCTATATTACAATAGGAGTTTACATGCTTTGTAAAATTTTCAAAACTCCTAAGTTACATTCTACATGTAAACCAGGAATGAAAAAAACTGGAAAATCATATAAACTATATATGTGTAAACAAAATTTGATTTGGAATATAATGAATATCATGTAATATATCAATGTAAGAGTGTAATATATGATATAATTCCAAATATCATAAAACCATAAAATCATAAAAAGATTTTTGTTCCAAATAATATATTCCAATATATTCCAATATATCATATATCATAATAATCATAATAATCTTTATATCATAATAATCTTTCTCAGATGAAATAGTTAAAAAACATATCAATTACATTACATTACATGCATACCGAAAACACTTAAGCGAAATAAAGAAAATTTTCCAACTCACAAATATTTCGTGTAATAGAAAAATACGTGTTATAGAAAATAACTGAGATTCTTATTTCTTATTTCTCTAATTATAATACATATCTTTGGAATAAATGTAATTGTAATACATATTTTCGAAATTAACAGCAAAATTAAGAAACGATAAATCAAATGTAATATGTAACAGATGCATGAGTAACAGTCTTTGATACTTTAAAGTCATTTTTAAAGTAAAGTTGTGTGTAATGGAATAACGCGTTTGATGCCTTACATCTTTAATATTTAAATTCGTCTGTTTTGAATAAAACAAAATAAAACAGCAATTTTATAAAAAAAATATATATGTATACAGAATGCACGTAGAAATAAATTATACGGCATTATATGGCATAAATCTGAACATTAAACATTTTTCATAATCTTAATAATAAAGAAAAAAAACATATGAATGTATATGTGCGCATTATAAAAGTGAGAGGGATTAATGGAAGTGAACATGCTAGGTGAAACATTATCGTGTAAGTATAGTCACCTCAATGGTTCGACACATTTGGCTGCACATTATGTCTGATTTGGACGTATTCGCAGCCAAATTTTCTAATTTAATCGTATTTGTCTTTACCTCGGATGACTTTTTCACTTGAACTGCAGGACGATTCGCTGAAGATTTTGCTGCACATTCATGACTTTCTGGCTTTGAACAGTTGTACTGCCATTAATTACAGTTTTTGCAGGCCATCTGATATTTTATGTGCTATCACTCTCTGGATTACAGGTTTCGTCTCAGGTTTTTTTCACGCATTTTTTTCACCCTGATTCTGCAAAATCTTTTGAGATCTTCTATACAACTTGTTAGACACTTTCTGTAGAGACGAAAAGTCGTGATACAAAAACTTTTATATCACTTGCCTCGTCTGGATAATATCGATGGACAATATAATATTATATATTATTAACACGTGTTATCGTTATATGAAATATATGTACATACATGCTATATATTGGAAATTCTTTATATTTACCTCTAGCTAAAACATTCGTAATGATGAGAACTTTTTCGAGTCCTGCTCTAAATCTGTCCAATACAGAAATTCTCTGCTTTCTTTCAAAATACAAAAAATCCATTTTTAAAAACATTATGTTAAAGCTTAGGTACATCCTTAATAAAAAGCATAGTATCTTAAGCTCCGATTTTCTCGATTTCATCCGCATCCTCCGCGTCGAGATAATAGATTTTCTTGCCAAAATGTCTCTCTATGTCCTTGCACAATTGCATCGCATGCAGCGAGTCGATCAAATTGATGACAATTCCTGACAAATCGTCCCATTCTTTCGATTGCAAGTACATCTCACAATCAACTTGTCGCTTTTGATCCTTCGGCAAATCGAAATTGACTATTATCGTCACCTGTCCCATATCAATACCTACCCCAAATATTATATATTATTACCACATATTGTCGTTATATGAAACATATATACTATATATTGGAATTTCTTTATATCTACCTCTAGCTAAAACTTTATATGAGACTTTATATGAGATGAGAACTCTTTCAAGTCCTACTCTAAATTTGTCGAATACAGAAATCTTCTATTCCATTGTCAAGTCATCAAACAATATTGTTACCGCGTGTCCATCTCTCGTCATTTTTTCTGCCAACGAACTAACTGTCTTCTTTCTCTAAAAAATAAAATGACATTATATATCATTATACATAAATAGCTCATAGAATATAATAAACAATTAATATACGTTCGATCTTACATGACAAAAGATATTTTGGAAGCGTCCTGGATAATTATAAGCGTCCGGGGTTTCAGAAAAGTTATGTAAATATTTTGTTTTGATTCCTCTCGCATTACTCTTCATTATCAAATAGCACAGGTAATCATACAAAAGAGTTAAAATTTTTAATTTAATACCTAATAAAACTTAATTAAACCTATAATAAAACCTATAATAAAACCTATAATAAAACTTATTTTAATCAAAATAGTCTGCATTTATTTATTTATTTT